ATTACCTGCATCATGTATACTGTACGCATCTGCATATTGCGCTGGAGATATGATAAGATGGGGAGGGTAGTCACAGCAACAGTGCGTGACGATAGGAGACAAATAACGTAAGCCGCCATGCAGGGCAGCACCGGCTTGCAACCTGAGCTATGCTGTCAATGATGCCTGCAGGAGCATCTGGACTGCGCACAATCGCATCCCCGCGGAGGAGGGGGCGAGCACGAGTATTGTGAGATCGCAAGAGATCGCATGCGTACTCATTTCCCCGACAACACGATTGGCTCTCGATGAATCACAACTCAGCAGACCTCAGTCGATCGTAATCTCGGGGGCGAGAGAGTAGGTGATGATCCCGGCCCCGGCGCGGGAGGAGAGTTCCTCCCCGTCGTTAATGAGCCTGAGGGGGCCAGAGGACGAGGGACTTCCCGAGGAGGCCTTGTGGCTCTCCCCTCAGCTCGACTCGCCGGCACTCGAAGAGGAAGGGAGGGGCGACTGGTGCAGCAGCGTGCTCCCCGCCGGCTGGACTTCGACCGTCGCCGTGTCCTCGCTCAGCGTCAGCGTCGTGCCGTTTGCGACGATTGTTGCGCCGGGCGTGGGCGCGGGGCCGGCCTTGCCTGGCCCATTGGCGACGCGGGCGGTCTCGCTCGTCGGCTTAGGGGGCGCGGACGAGCTGGGCGCGAGGAGGAGGCTGCCCTCGTCCGTCTCCGTCTCAGCGGGCTCAGCGGGCTCAGCAGCGGGGGCGGCCGCCTCGCCCGTGCCCTCAGCCTCAGCGGCAGCAGAGGGGGCGAGCAGGAGGCTTTCGCGCACACTCGTCGCGGCGGGCGCGACGGCGGCCGACGGTTCCTCGTCCCGCTTCACGAACGACGGCGGCTGGACCGTAAAGTCCTCCGTGGACGCCAGCACCTCGCCGTCGACCACGAAGCGGACGGCCGTCTCGTACCCGCTTCCCAGGGGCTGGATGTTGATCGTCCCCGCGTCCGAGGGCACGTCGGCGAACTCGTACCCGAGCGGGATCCAGTGCCCGTTCGCCTTGACCTCGATCGCGAAGTGGGAGGGCGCATCGGTCTGCCGATCAGCTCTTGTTCCGTTGCTGGTGCCACAGTGCGCAGTGCGCGGCAATGCCTGCAATCCTGCTCTGCACAATACCCAGTGCACGGCACAAAGAACCAGTGGCAGCGGCACTGCGTGCCGCCGTCAGTCAACATACATTAGACTCTGCGTCCCATGCGATCGAGTTGTTCTTGCCCGCGACGAGGGGGTTGTCTGCCGATGGCGCGGTGATGACAAAGGCGGCAGCGAAGGGGGCGGCCAGCACGGCCCACGCTGAGAGCATGATAAGGAGTGTCGGTGGTCAAAGGCGCATTCAAACGGCGACGAGCGCTGCGGTCGCTGGGCGAAGGACTGTTGGGTATACGTCGAGGTAGAGTAAAGGAGTGTGGTGAGGGGGGCAGTCACTCGGACTAGCTGGCTCTTTTATTCTCCTGTCACCTGGACACAGACTGGACGATGCAAATGGCAGGATGCAGGATCGGATTGCAGGAGATGCAGGACAGCCGTAGTGCGGAGCAACGGTGTCCTGCACTGCTATGCAGCAACCATCGCTCGCAGCAGCAGTAGGAGCGATGGTTTCTGCGCGGTTCGGATGGTTCAGCTGCAGGCGCAAGCATGCATTCCTGCTAAGTGTGTCAGGTGAGACCCTTACCCCTTGAGTGTTGGTCACCCACCCGACCACCTGTAGCCCGGGACCTGTGGCCCTTTGTCAGGTGGCGAAGCCGGGTTCCCGCGCGCACCGCACGTCCGTCGGGCCAACTGCGCGCCGCAGCGTGCGGCCCGAGCACTCCCTGCTGCTGCTGCGCCGAACGGAAGGGGTTAAAGCATTTAAGCTGTATTAGAGTGGAGTCCCCCGCAGCGCCGGCATCTCCTTGTCCCTTGCGCTGGTGTCAACTGTTCTCCAATCGCACGCCGTTTCGAATGTAACACCTTCTGTCGCCTCCTTGCGTTTCCTGGACCAACAACGGTCCGTCCTGAACTGGGCATTCATCTGATCCAATTGTCCCGCTGGGACCCGCACGCACTAAACGAAATAAACGACGCCACTCTCGCACTTGGTGACCCTTCTTCTGCTGCGCGCAAGGAAAGACCAGCTCTGTAGTGCAGGTCCGAACGGGGGTCGCATGCCCGAAACGGGCCTGTGAGTCATGTACGCATGCATGGACGGGTGTGTCGGGCTGGCGGACCGGGGCGTACGACAGGACACACCGTGGCCGTCGCCGGACCTCGCGGGTTCACGAGCCCCTGGTCTAAAACTCAAGGTTCGCTGCCCTGTCAGAACTGTGCGGTCCAGTTGCTGGAAGCCCACGCGCGCTGCTAGAACTGAGCGCAGCAGTCGTACGCCTTTCTCTTCTGCTCCGCATGTCCCCAGATCTCCCAGCCCCACAGCCGCAGAACACCAGGGTCACGCCTTCCGCCTTCGCCGAGGTCGCTCGGGTCGAACAAGGCTTCGTACTCGCCTCGTGACCCGAGACCATGTGGTGCTGCCGCAATCGCTTTCTTTCTGTTGCACACCGGATGGGACACCTCGACATGCATAAAGAGCCCAAAGTCATGAATGCGTGAATGGACAGAAACCTCGATCCCATCGAGATCTCACTTTCTACCAGCCTGCGATATTAAGCGATTGCGACCGCTGAAAGCCGGCTGCCCGCTACGGTGGCGTCGAGCGCGCTCGCTGGTTGGCCCATTCCTGCCAGTGTCACGCAGCCTGCCGATGTAAACAAACCCAAGCTCACGGCCGGCTTGCGGGTGTCGACGGAAGCGTCTGCGTCGCCCTGGCCCAAACAAACACCCGCAGGCTGCTCATAACACATGCGATGTACGACACCTTTGTCTCTCCACCCCGACTCAACCACGAATGATGCTGCCCCTTGTTCTCCTCGCCGCCGCAGGCTCCGCCGCCGCCCTGCAGGTCACTTCGCCCGTCGCAGGCGTGCAGTGGACCGTCGGCCAGCCCGCGAGCATCAACTGGATCGTGCGTGATCTCTTTTCGTTCTCCGCGCGCCCATCTAACCACCGCAGCACTCGCCCGATGACCCCGCCAACGTCCAGATCCAGGTCCAGGTGAACGGACAGTGGCACACGATCGCGCAGGTGCCGAGCGCCGACGGTTCGTTCTCCTTCACGCCCGAGGCGAGCGCGGAGAGCGCGCAGATCCGCTTCATGGACGGCAACGAGCAGGTCGGACGCAGCGGCACGTTCCAGATCCAGAGCGGGGCCGAGCAGTCGGCCTCGGCGTCCGCCGCCGACGAGTCCAAGACCATGGTCCCCGTCGTGCCCACCTCGGATGCTTCCGCCTCGCCCTCTGCCTCCGAAGAGCCCTCGCCCTCCGCGCAGCCCTCCGAGTCGCCCGAGGCGTCGCAGCAGCCCTCCCCCTCGGCTCAGCCTTCCGCCGAGCCCTCTGCCGAGACTTCGGGCCAGGCTTCGGACTCTGCCGAGCCCAGCGCGCAGCCCTCCGCCGCCCCCTCGGCTACTGACGATGGCGCTGCCCCCAGCGCGCAGCCCTCGGCCCAGCCCTCTGAGTCGCCAGAAGCCCAGGCTTCCTCCTCGACGCAGCAGGGCAACACGCTCGTGCGCCCCTCCGAGTCCTCTTCCGTCAAGGTGCCGGGCATGGTGACCTCGCGCCGGCCGAGCGGCACGTCTGCCGTCTCGCCCTCTGCGACGCAGGACTCGGGCGCCGCTCCGCTCGGCGCCGACGGCCTCGTCCTCCTCGCGGCCGGCGCGCTCGCGTACCTCGCCTAAGCGACACTCACCCACATTCGACATCGACACCGCCATACTAACGCTTTCTTCCGGGTCTCTGTTGTCTGTACAGTAGTCATTACCTGCATCATGTATACTGTACGCATCTGCATATTGCGCTGGAGATATGATAAGATGGGGAGGGTAGTCACAGCAACAGTGCGTGACGATAGGAGACAAATAACGTAAGCCGCCATGCAGGGCAGCACCGGCTTGCAACCTGAGCTATGCTGTCAATGATGCCTGCAGGAGCATCTGGACTGCGCACAATCGCATCCCCGCGGAGGAGGGGGCGAGCACGAGTATTGTGAGATCGCAAGAGATCGCATGCGTACTCATTTCCCCGACAACACGATTGGCTCTCGATGAATCACAACTCAGCAGACCTCAGTCGATCGTAATCTCGGGGGCGAGAGAGTATGAATGATCAGGAGATCGGACCGGCGGACTTGTCCAGGAAGGCGGACGACTGCGAGCTCGGAGCGAGTTCAGGACAGGCAGGACAGGATCTCAGCAGGGCAGACGGAAGGGCAGAGTATGCTTAGCGGCCGTACGCATGAGGCAATATCGCGGCACACGAGTGCACCGCTCGATCGTGCCGATACCGAACGGGTGACCTGTGCACAGACTGCCCAGGCGACACCCCAGAGCTCGGACTTCGACGCCATCAGCACAGACAGGGCTCATGTGCTGTCACGCATAGGAGACATGTGGGCAGCGCATGAGGATAGGAAGGTCCGGCGGGCCCATCGGAGAACTACCTGCGACCGAGGGGTGTGAGCGCCGGGTAGCCCACAACCATGGCAGCAGTGCAGCTCTGCGGGACCAGTGAGGCGGCTTATCTCGCGTACTCGATCGGTTGGAGAGATGTAAGACAGTTGCCGGAGTGCCCTTGCGTACCTCCGACAGTCCGCCTCTCGCAGCCTCCGGCATGTTTCAGTCTCGTGTGCTGTCGGCCACCCCAGGCGGCCGGAACAGATCAACTCCCAGTGAGATCCCGCATGGTCTGTGGTAAATGAGCACCTTCAGTCCAACTGCTCACACTCGTCAAGAAGCGGCTGATGGGCACTAAGACACAGCCCACAACCGCAGATGATGCCGAGAGCCCGCTCGGGTGTCCAGTCAGTGAGGGATGTTGCAATCCGCACTGGTCACGCTATCCAAGCAGCCAACTGGAATCAGCAGGAATCCTCGGAAGTGCAGGAACACGAGTTAGTGCGCAATGTTGGGCGTCACGGTGGTCCACCGGCCGATCGATGGACGAGAGTGACCGACTCGAGGAAGGCACGTTTTGCGTCATGGTTCATCTTTCCAACACTCTGATTGCACCTTTGCAACTTGACCAGCGACTGGCACCTGCTCTTGGGTCCGACTCGCACGAATCGAGATAGTCAAGGTTCAGAAGAGGACCGAACACGCGAGACAGACAGCGCGGCCAGAATGCTGAAAAGAGGCTGTGCAGCAGTGGACCCCCGGCGGGACGTCAGTATTGGTACGCCAGCGAAGGCGGACTTTCGTAATCGCCTCAGGCCACACCTCTTTCCACACCTGCACAGTGGCAAAAGTGGGCTTGGGGCGAGCGATGCGCGGGGGTTGTCGTCAAGCTATCCCTCGTGGTCTGTCATTGCGCCATAGTACGTGCACTGCTGCCCGGAGGGTTGATAAGAGCTTCGGCCAAGGATGGCGACTAGTGGCTGAACAGAGTTCACTTCCGCGCCTTTGCGGTCCCTCATTCCACCAAGCCCTCGCTTAGGAGCAGAGGGCTAGTGCACTCATCTGTGCCTCGCTTTACGTTGTCCGCAGGCTTTTGCTCATGTAGATTAGATAGTGCACCGGTATGACGCTGACGCTCGAGGTCAGCTGCCTCTCCACCCCTCCCAGGTATCCATGCTGCGGGGTCTGCAGATGCCCGCATGCTCGCAACGCCATAAGACCTGAGGATATTGGCGACACACCCAGCTAACGTACAGAGAGCGAGGGAAGACCTCAGATGTGAGCGGCCAGAAAGTGCAATGATCACCCGGTGCGCACTGGCCCATGTGCCAATTCAGCAATTCAGAGCTTGCCGGGCTGATCGTCGATACGTCGGCGGCACATCGTTCTCACGACTACGGCTCGGACCGCGGCATGATGACGGCGTGGTCGCATTGCAAGACGTCTTGGTGCAGCGCTAGCGCTCTCTCGCCTAACGGGTCGACTACCTTCGCAATGTCCGGGAGCGTGCTCTCACAGCGCGATAGATACTTAAGCATCTGCTGCCCTCTCTGAACTCCCCACTCTCGACTCACGCTCATCCTGTCTTATCGCCCGATCTACGTCTCTGATCATCTGTCCAGCCCTCGATTCGAAGGACGTACAACAGCAAGCCTCAGTCCAACAACACTTCCACCATGCTCAACAACTTCCGCTTCTTCGCTGCCCTCTGCCTCTTCCTCGGACTGCAGGCTCTGGCTCTCCGTATCACCAGCCCCGCGCGCGACGCTCAGTGGAAGACGGGAAACCGCGAGACTGTCTCTTGGGAAGTGAGTTGCTTTCTTTCGTGGCCCCTCGGACCCGTCAAGCGGGCGGTAGACCAGGCTATGAAGGCCGTCATGACGTAGCTGACCACAGGACGGACCCGGCGGCAAGCTCACCTTCCAGCTACAGGTGGTCAACAAGGCGCAGTTCATCTACTATGACATCTTCTCTGGCGACTTTGGCGCGGGCAACGGCCAGTTCGCATACAAGCCTACGACCAAGGACGCGCAGACTGCCGAGTGGGCCGGCACTTATCTTCGAGTCATCGATGGAAGTGGTAAGGAGCTTGCCGTGTCTGAGCGATTCGACATCAAGCTGTAACCCCTTGAGTTATCGCGGCCCTGCAACTGTTATAAACATTTGAGATCCATGCAAATACCCTTTTAGAGACAACTATTCGGACACTTTTACTGCTACTGATTGTACTTCCTCTAGACCCAAAAACCATACTGCTACTGCTACTTCCGAACTTCTGACTCCTTGTCCGAGCATTATTTACTTAGCGGGGACGTCGACGACGGCGATGGGGTGGGAGAACTCGAGGAGCTCGCAGTCCGAGGGGTCAGCCTCGTCCTTGCCGTTGCAGATCTGGGTCTCGATGCAGGCGAGGTCGACCGTGGCGTCGAGCATGAGGACGGGGTGGTGCCAGACGCCCTGGTTGTAGATGAGGCCCTGGCCAGCGGGGACGAGGAAGGCCTCGACGGTGGCGGGGTCGGGGTTGCCGTCAGAGCCGGCCTGGGCGACAACGGCGAGGAAGGTGCCGCCGGGGGCGAGGGCCTCCTCGCCCTTGTCGGCGAGCGCGCCCTTGCCCATGGGGACGAAGGCCTGCGAGGTGTGCGGGTGGCGCTCGAGGAGCTTGATGTCGAAGCTCTGGCCGCGGACAAGGCCGACCTTGGGCGTGGCGCGGAAGACGCCAATGGCAGTCTTGGCGCCCTTGTCGGCGGGGTACGAGTTGGTGAGCTCGGCGGGCTGGGCACCAGGGGCGATGAGCGAGCCGTACTTGGCCCAGTTCTTCTCCGTGATGGGGACGGGCTGGATGGGCTTGCCCGAGGCGCCGTTGGCGACACCGTTCGCGACGTGGCCGTTCAGCTGCGCAGTCTGGGTGGGGACCTTGAGCGCGTCCTCGGCAGCGGCCTGGGGGTACTCGGGGACGTAGACGTCGACATTGGCCTCGACGGTCTCGCCGGCCTGGACACCGGCAGAGGGGCCGACAGAGACAAAGTCACCGCAGTTCAGGGGAGCGTACCAGGTGCCCTCGGCAAAGGTGACGCCCTGGCCGGCGGTGGCAACAAAGGCCTTTAGAGTCGAGGCGTCGAGCTTGCCGTCCGAGCCAGACTGGGCGACGAGGAGGTTGTACGACTGAATGTCGGCGGTCGGGAGGGGGATGACGCTGAAGGGGGCCGTGGCCTTCTGGAGGGTGGGGACCTTGGCAGAACCGGCAACCTTCTTGTTGTCAGCCTTCTGAACCGAGATCGTGGCCTCAGTCTCGGGGAGGACGGAGAGGCGGTGGAACTTGGAGGCAGTGCCCTGGTTGGCAGTCGTGACGGGGACGCCCTTGGGGGACGAGGTCGGGAGGGAGAAGCCCTGGATGACCGAGCCGTAGGGCTTGAACTGCTCGTAGGTGAGGGGGAGGGCGATGACGGGGTCAGGGGCGGCGGCCTTGGTGCCGGGGGCGAGGGGGTGGCCGTAGATGCGGAGACGCTTGAAGCCACCGTCGGGGTAGATGGAGCAGCGGATGTGCGAGTAGATGTTGTTCTCGAGGCCGCGCTCAACGGCGAGCCAGTGCTGGCGGTGCGAGCCGCAGGGGGTCTTCTTCACGACAACGTCCCACTTGGCGTCGGCGGGGACCTCCTCGCCATCGTGGTAGGTAGCCTCGATCTGGGTAGCGACGGGGTAGTTTCCGGGGTGGAACGCAGTGTCAACCTCGACGTACTGGATGTTGCCCGACGAGCCAAGCTTGCCAATGACCCACTCCTTGCGCTCCTGGCCCTCGAGGGGGGCGCCGGGGGCGTACTTGCCACGGCCGATCTGCGAACGGCGAGTCTCCCAGCCGTCAGACATGTCGATACCACGTCCAGAGCGGAGGAGGTTGACGGGAGGCGAGAAGTTGGCGTCGGAGCAGGTGACGACGTGGCCACCAATGAGGGGGGAAAGGAGGTTGATGGGCTCGACGTCGGCAGAGGGGAACGAGGGGAGAGGCTTGGGGGGAAGAGGGCGGCCGTAGGCGCGGAAACGGCCCATGCCTCCGTCGGGGATCATGAGGACCTTGAGGCAGTTCCACTGGCCCTCCTGGGCGCGGTCGTTAAGCTTGAAGATGTGGCGCGAGTCGGGGCCGAGGGTGACGGTGGAGAGGAGCTCCTCCCATCGCTCGTCGTTGGCCTTGACCTTGAGCTTCGGGTCGGCAAACTCCTTGTCAGAGAGGAGGAGACCGTAAACGCGGGACTGCGGGCACTCGTTGCCCTTGAACCAGGCGGTGTCAATGTCGCAGTAGTCGAGGTGCGAGGCCTTGGGGCCAAGCTTGATGATGACCCAGTCGTAGCTGGGGTTGTGGCGGCGGGTCTCCCATCCGTCGTAGAGGGCTCCGTTGGGGCCGAAGCTTCCCCTCATGTAGACAGCGGGCTGTGGAGTCAGCAAGAGATGATAGCAGGAAACTCACTCCGGGCTTGATGAGGTTGTGCCTGCTGACGAAGAAGTCGTCGCTGCAAGCAATGACATCTCCTCCGAGAGCGTTGACCGAGACCTCGGTGAACTTGGTCTTGAAGCCATCGAACTCGTCGAGAGGGATCTGGGGAGGCTCCTGGGGCATGATCTCCTGAGTCATTTGCGTTTAAGATACAACGGGGGTGGTAGGCGGGTCGTGATAAGTGGAGATAAGACAGTTACAACGCTACACTTGTCGAGGTTCTCTGAGAGGAATCGCTGAAGAGAGAGAGGAGGAAGTGGGCTTGAAGAGCAAATGTCGTGGAGAGGGGAGGGTTAAGTAGTCGTGCGAGTCGAGTGGCTCGAGGGGAGGGCAGCGAGTGGGTGGGGCAGTTACATCCGATCACGCCTGGCCCCGCCTGGTCGCGGGCAGAGGATAGAAGCGCGCATAGAGCGAAGCCCAGCGACGCTCATCCCCGGCAACAGACGGTTCCCCTTATCAGCCGGCTTTTTCGTCCAATCAGAGCCATCCAATTGCCCGACATGTCCGGTTCATCGCCCGGTCACTCCTCGGCCACTGCATGCATGACCCAGGCCCCGGAGCAAAAGCTCGACATGCATTCGCTGCTCCCCTCGCTTTTCCCGGCCCACCAAGGCTGCCCAATCCACATGGGCAGAGGATATCATATCGAAGCATACTTCTCACCGCCCAGGATATCATATCCCGACTAGCCTAGCTCGAGAGTCAGGCGGGGTATGATATGATATCCTCGCCCACGCCCCTGAGGGCTGCAAGATATCCTCGTAAAACTGCCGCCGCGGGTGCCTCCAGCGTCGCACATGGCCGCTCAACTCTTTCATACGGTGACTAGGATATCATATCATCGTCTAATTCCCCAGGGCTCCAGGCTAAATGCTTTCATATCACCTGGGCTCAGATGACCAACTCTGCCGTACGCTGGGCATGTACCCCTGTCAACCCAATCACGAGTCGGCCATACCGCAATCGCGCGATCACCAGACCACCGGCATACTCGGCACATGGGTTCTGCGGCATTCACATATCCCGGCCCGAGGTTCAGAGCTTGTCAGCCTCGGCCTTGACGTCGATGACGCGACCCTCCTTGCTCGACTTGTTGCCCAGCTCGATGATCTTCATCGTCCAGATAGCCTGCTCGGGCTGAACGACAAGCTTGCTCGGGTCCTTCGACGTGATCGCGTCGTAGACGTTCTCGTAGATGGCCGGGTACCATCCGTTCTTCGACGGCACCCTGCGAGTCAGCGTCCGATCAATCGGGGGCACTCACTTTTCAGTCGTCCACTTGCCGTCCTCGCACGTCGACACCGTTCCCCAAGCGTCCTCAGACTCGATACCGAAGCCCTCGTCGCGCACCTTCTTTCCAGCGCGGAGGAAAGGCTCCTGAGGGTCGAGGCCATTCTTCAGGAAGCTTCCCTTCAGTCCCTTGACGAGGTAGCGAAGCTGGACCGGAACGGAGTTGAGCATGTTGGCACCCAAGTGGACGGCGAGGGGACCGGTGGCGCCAGGCTGAGGGGGGTACAGCAGCTCCATCTCGAAGCACTCGTCAAGACCGACGCCGCGCTCGTCGTAATTGCGGCACCAGACCTTTTCGGGCACGCCGAAGAGGTTGAGCGCCTGGTCGATGACGTGCGATCCGAGGTTGTAGATGCCCTCGTTGTGCTGTCCCGGGGTCTCCTTCCAAGAGGATGACTTGTGTCCGGGAGGCAGAGGACGGTAACGATCGAAGCGGGAGGTCATCTCGTGAATGGGGCCGAGCTGAGGTCAGCGATAGACACGCAGTAAATCCTAGCGATGGGGACTCACCTTGCCCGACTTGAGAAGGTCCTTGAGGGTGAGGAAGTCGGCGTCCCATCGGCGGTTCTGGTAGGCGCAGAAAACGAGGTTCTTGGACTTGGCAAGAGCCGCGAGCTCCTCAGCCTCCTTGACAGTGGGGGTGACAGGCTTCTCGACCATAACTGGGGTCAGCTGACAATCTGGCGTAGTTAGTTCACCATTCTTCCCCGCCTCCAGGGCAGCCTTCGCGAAGGGGTAGTGAGTGTTGTTTGGGGTGGAGATCACGACCTGCTGTCAGATGCGTCGAGCGTAGGGCTACTCACAAGGTCGACGTCGGGGTCATTCACGACCTGGTCGATAGTGTTGACGACCTTGGTGTCGGGGCCGCAGACAGCCCTGGCCTTGCCGCGGTCCGTCCTCTCCATGACGGAGTGGAGAACGTACTTGTCCGGGAGAGCATCGATGAGAGGGAAGTGGAAGGCCTGGAGGGAGAGGCCAGTGCCAAGGATAGAGACGCGAATGGGAGCCATGGTGCTCAGCAGTAGTCAGAGGTGAAAGAGAGAAGGAAGACCCTTGCAAAGTTGTTGTCGTCAGCTGTCAGAAAGTCGGTGACTGCTCAGTCAGCGCGGGAGGGATGCTCCGCTTCTGGACGGCTTATGACGGCATGACACTGGCTGTGCCTGACCATTGCCGCCGGGGCTGACGGTGACTTATCCCTGGGGCGTTGCCACGACACGCGACGGGCATAAACCCGAAGTGCCGCGGTGGCGTCTCGCGCGGGCCTAGCTCCTGCCACCATGTTGATGAGCAGCTCGCGGTCAGCATCAGCGACCTCGTCTCCATCCTCCATCCACCACCATGTCCGACCCCTCCGACGGTATGTTCCAGCCCGCTCTTCCGCTCCGCAATCTCCTGCCACCATAACTGTGATACCCGGCGCGCCCTACGACTGTAATCGCCCGCATAGGTTGCTGCCAAAATGACGACTTCGTCATGTTGCGCGCGCATCTCTCGATCACCCGCGTTGTTATTCTGTATCCACCCCAGCATGAGCCCGCGCCGCCAGTGGGCGGCGCATCAGAGTCAACGTCTACGACCTGCGCGTCACGACACGGACCCGGCTGCTGTGTTGTGATTACTTGTCAGCGAATCTAGTGGCTTCAGTTCACCCGGCACACGCCTATTGTTCTATTGTGTCACTTCTGCGCCTGTGGAGTCGCCCGTCGCCTGCCCGTACGCCGCCGCTGCTCGCTTGCGGCATCATTCCCAGTGGCTTCAAGCAAGCTTCAGCTTCCAGCTCCTACACGGCTCCTCCCCCTCCTTCCTTCTCTCAGCCCGGTCTTGCTACTTCCGACTCGGTGCTTCGCTTCTTCTCACCACAACTATCAACCTTTGCCGACAGATGCCTAACGCGCCCAGTTTGGCAGAACTCGGCTCCGGCCAACGACGGTTTCCGTGAGCCTCGCGAGGCCTCCCCCCGCCGCGACGACGGCGG